TATATATATATATATATATGTATACACATACATATACATGGCAACACCTCCAGCATTTCTCCACTGTCTATCCTTAACAAGCTATATCCATCCATGACTACTTTAGTCATGTGAGCTATGCTGTCCCACCACATCTCTGTATCCCAGTTACCTCATAATTCTGTGATTCTGTAACTAAGATCTCAAATTCTTCCTGTGTAATCCCCTCTGCTTCTTGCATTTGTGTATAAACGTTTCAGGTATCAACTGATTTCCCTGTCTTTTTCCAAGAAGTTTGCTAACGCTTCTGCTATTGCTTCCCCTTACGATATTTTTCTCCAAATCCCCTGGCTCTTTACTCATCTCTTGGCTTTTGTTTCCATTCCTGGTTAACCTTGTTTAAAACCCTCCTCACTAGAAGGAATATTCTGGACCAGAATTTTTCTCTCTGCCTTCAATACCAGGCTCATTGATGGTGATTGCTACTGCTAATGAGGAAAAAAATGGCACAAAAGGGTAATAATGTAAAAGTCTCTTTGGTCCAAAATGCTACTTCTTTGCAAGCTATCCATTTAGGACATCAAATCACTAGATGTCATTAGTAGATTAGGATTTTCTGAATTAGAACAAACTGATTTTTTTTTTGTTTGTTTGTTTAGAAAAGTTGCTTCAGGAGAACAGGAATTTAAGTGTTCAATTTCAGAAGGCCAGACTAATTGCAAGGATTTATGCAGCTCTTAAGTACTGGAAATATTGTTCCTAAAATGCGACTTATTTGAATGGTGCATGGAATACATGTACCGGGAATGGAATATGGTTATACATAGCTTGAATTAGGTATTCTGGAGTTAGAAGAACTGCACTTATTGTACAGGAAAAGTGTTTTCTTTCATTTTCCAAGTGCCCAGTAAAGCCTTGTACAGCATTGTCCTCTTTACAAAATGAACTCTTAAGTCTTCATTCTGGTATTCAGATAATCAATAATATTGCATGTTAGAACGCTGCAGTTGATAGTAGAAGCATCATCCTTTTGTTTTTTATAGTCCATGGTCATAGCAGCTTAAAAATAAACTAAGCAGTGGAATAGATGGATGTTTGTAATAGAAGCATAAAAAAGTACTGCCATATTTTTTTTTAATGTTTGTGTTTTTATTTAGGTTGTTCACAGAGATCTGAAACCTAGCAACATTCTTTATGTTGATGAATCTGGTAATCCAGAATCAATTAGAATTTGTGATTTTGGTTTTGCAAAACAACTACGAGCAGAAAATGGTCTGTTGATGACTCCATGTTACACAGCCAATTTTGTGGCTCCAGAGGTAAATATGAAATTGTGGGTATATGCTTTCTTGTTACTTTGATGGTTTTTAATCATTTAGGCATGCTAAAGAGTTATTGTGGTGTAATTGGTAAAATTATCAATGGATTAAGCTTTTGAAACAGTATTTGTCATCTTCAAGGAAATAAAATAAGGAACACTAATTACTACAGAAAAGGTTGGGCTGTTTTGATAATTACTTGTTTTCTACAGGTTTTAAAAAGACAAGGGTATGATGCTGCCTGTGATATATGGAGTCTCGGTGTTCTGCTTTATACTATGCTCACTGGGTAAGTTAGCAGATATTACTGTAAAAGCATTGTTGAGGTACATACATATAAGTGCACAAAATATTGATTCAGTGCTGCAGAATGTTAGTGTTCTCTGTACATGATCAGTACTTCCCTCTGGTTTCAGTGGTAAGGTTGAGCCCAGCACTCGCCTTTTTTAGTAATTTATACTAAATAAATATCTGAGTTTGTCTGACTTGCATAAGACTTGAACAGTTTCCAGCAGTGGAATATCTTCTGCCTTGTGGCAACTTAAGAATAAAAGTAGGATTTGAAGAAAAGGAAAGAACTTGGATGCATTATTCTATTTGAAATAGCTTTTGTGCTGCAAGAAGCTTAATTAAGGGTAGTGCCGTACTGGAGGGAATATATGTAGTTCTAAAATATAATCGTGATGCTCTGAGCTTTGATAGCTCTCAAGAATCAGTCATCAGATAATTTGACATGATGTAGTTAGAATGATATATGCAGTGTAAATGATTTGCATAAAAGGATGAAAAAAGTAAAGTTAAATGAGTAATAATTACAAATCCCACCTTTAACACCTTTAGACAAGTGTAACCCTTATGCAGGCTGTAACATGGTAAATCTAAAATGTTATCAGTCTTGAATTGTGTGCTGCAACACATTCATCTCAACTAAAACTGGCAAGCCATACGCGTTTTTAAAAAGTTATTTTCATTCTTTGTTGTGCTTTAGTATATTTTGCTAGCTCAGCAGCAGACATGAGGAATTGAACAAGGGAAATCATTTAAGGTTGATGGCTTCCCTGTCTTTGCTTTCATCTAGTGCCAGGTTGGTATTTTGTTCCTCTGCAAGTCAGTCATCAAGTCATCAGTTTCCATGTTCTCGCACACATTTTGTTCTTTCGTTTAACCAGAATGTACAAACTTTTGTACTAATCAGTGTCCTTTAAAAAGGACATTAAAAGCATTAAGAGGGACAGTCTTTACAGCTCTGATTCTGAATTGGCCTATACTTATACTCAAAGAACATACAGTGAAAGAAGGAACAGGCTCTTAATCACAAACTATGATGCATCTTCAACTATTACATACAACTTGGAGGTTTTTACAGTCTATATTTATTAAATGCCACTATAGTTAGTGTCTGTTACTTTTTATCATTATGTTGAAACTACTGGCAATTGTGATTTAAATGTGAAATACAGCTTTGACCTCAACTGGAACAGATTTTAAAACTCTGAAATCTTTCGATTAATTAGTTACACTCCTTTTGCAAATGGTCCTGATGATACCCCAGAAGAGATTTTGGCACGAATAGGTAGTGGGAAGTTCTCTCTCAGTGGAGGCTACTGGAATTCAGTATCAGATACAGCTAAGGCAAGTATATTTTTCCTTTGTATACAGAATGGATGCAAACATCTTGCAAAGGTATTTTGTGTGTACACATTCTAAAAATAGTTTATCTTAAAGGATACAGATATTAATAAAGGTAACTTATCTATCGTGTGTGTAGATTTTTATTTGATAATTATGTTATTTTCAATTACAGTTGAACGTAGGAAGAGAAAAAAAGTATAGTTTATACCACACTTTGAACATGTTTTTTTTCCCCTATGTATCTTTTGTTTGAAATTTGTAGTCTGTTCTCCCAGCATCCTTCTTCTGGTCAGCGAAACTTTTTTTTTCTCTTCTGCAATACTATAACCAAACTAATATAAAAGCATGATTTCTAAAATCATTCAGGTTTCCCAAAAGAGCATGTTACAGTAGGTTTCAAATACCCTAATTCTTGGATATGAAATTGAATAATTGAATAATTCAAGAGGTTTCTAAATGGTATTTTTCAAAAGTACTTAAGGAAAACAGTTATATAGGTCCCATTGAGCTCCCTGGGTGTTGGCATCTTATTCTCTCAGGTACTTTTAGGACTACCATTCTTTGTGTGTAGTATTAAGAAGCAAGGCGGGGGGAGGGGGGAACACCCTGAAGTGATTATCCTCTTGCCAGTTCCCCAGTGCAGATTCTGAGGAAATGATGCGGCTGTTAAGCTGATTCTTTTGTTCTAGAGAATATGAAATCTTAGTTGCAGTAAATGGACCGTACATTTAATCTTGATTTTTGCATCCTAATTTCATTATGTTTGAATAATGAACTACTAAAATACCAATAACTTATAGCTGTTGTAGTAGGTCGGGGTGTCAAACTCAACCAGTCTTGTGGGCTAGATAGGAGTTGTTGGGCTGGCCCATGGTGCCAGGTCCAGCCCATGCATTTCAAGCAGCACTCAGGCCCAAAGCTCTGAGTATGTATCAGCGAGGTCAGCACAGAGCATGCGCTGCCCAGTGTGCAGGCTGAATCTAGTGCTGTGCCCTGCATGCAACATGGGGTTGAGCTGTGTATACAATAGCAGGGCCAGCAGAGGATGTGGGCTGTGCACATGCTGGATCCAGTGTTGCACACAGCATGGGGGGAGGAAAGGGACAGGCCATGTGCAGTGTGCATCCCAATCTAGGCCCCTAACCAATCCCCTGAACCCAGTACTGCAGGTAGCACATGGTCAGGGCCAGTGCATGGAGTTGGTCCAGAGACCCACCAGCCAGACTGTGCAGCGTTACAAACCTAGATCCAGTCCATGAGCCATGTTTGACACCCTTGTCCTAGGTGACCTGTTTTTGTAACTTATTTGGGGTTTTCTAAGCATATAACTCTTGCCTGGAAAACCAAGAGTAGTCTGAAAATTGGAGGAGCCACAGCCTGCTCCCATCTTCTAGAGAACTTGTTCATATTGGGGCTAATAATATCAAAGTCTTGTCTTTTACAGCTGGATATACAGGAGGAAGAAGGGTGGAAAGGGGGTCCACAAACTCTTTAATTTTTTGGGACTTACTAGGTCAGGGAGCATTGTTTATAATCACTTGCACCAGAATGCTACTTTTATGATAGCTAACTAGAACTCTTGTATAAAAATATCATGATCTTCAACCCTCTCCTCCCCTTTGATACACTGTGGACTTCTATGGCCATATCCAGACATGCGTGGACATTTGAATAACCCTGGGATAACTAGCGGCAGAGCACCTTATGCTGCCACTATTTGTCTCTGGGGATGCCTGTGCCACACATGCTCTGGCATGCAGCAGGTTACCCTGGGCAGGGTAGGGGGAGGCTGGCTGCAGCAGCCTTATCCAATGCTGTGCGGAGCCTGGCAAGCATTGGATAAGTGCAGCTCCTGCCAGGCAGGCTCTGGCTTCGGTTGGTGCACACTGCCACCATGTGAACTGCTCCACTTTTTTTTTTTCCCCATGGGTTTTTTTGACCCACGGATATCATGAGGTCAAAAAACCCTCTGCACTGTTCCGTTGTGATACAGAGAACAACTGAACATTTGGTATGTGGTACAGCAGATGCATCTGTGGTGCCACATATCGCATGGCTGGACTGTATCTAAAATTGTGTAACTGTGCAATTTTGTTATTGTTTCAGATTTGAGAGGGATGGAGAGATATTGTGTGTTTTTTTTCTTTCTTTTTTCTCTCTTCCTCCTTTTTTCTCCTTTTCTTTTTTTAAGTAAATGTTTTTCCATGCTGTTAAGTGCCCAGTGTCTCAATAGAGTTTGAGATCACTAATACATTTTTCCACTAGCAATTTTTCCAGTGTTAGAAGTTTATTTCCTTGCCTTTTTTTAAAGTTCACTGTATCCTCCTCTTCCAAAGATTGCTTGTTTTTTAAGTTCTTCAATAGGTCTTGAAGTAACTGTAGTAACATTTCAGTCACTTCCAGAAATGGTCTGGATATTTGTTTAAATTGTTGGTATCTGCAAATACATTTCTTCAGATCTTGAATTTTAAACTCAGTTAATTTTAATGCTCTGAAAAGCAGTAGTACTGCAAGTTGGGGCTTTTGTGGGTGTTTTTTTTCTTAATGTTGATTTGAATTAACAGCTCCTGCATTGTTGACAGGACTTGGTTTCAAAGATGCTCCATGTTGACCCACATCAAAGATTGACTGCTGCTCAGGTTCTTAGACACCCTTGGATAGTTCACTGTGACCAGTTGCCTCAGTACCAACTAAACAGACAGGATGCCCCACATTTGGTGAAGGTAAATAAAAGCTTGTTCAGATTATTTAGCTGGGATTAGTTGTAAACAAAATTACACACAAAATAATCAATTTTGTTCTAAATACCAGTTCTGAGTTTAGTAAATACACTGCATGAAACTGTAATGTGCACTTGTGATGTCCCTAATAGTAAGGACTTCAAGAGACCCTATGGAAGAATGTCTTTTCTGTTTGAAAAATGTGGAGTGCTGCTATCAGTTTAAATGTTTTGTGGGATGCAAATTGAAAATACTAGGATTCTTTTTTTTGGAAAAAGGGAATTAAGGAACTTGTAGGGGGAAGGCTTATGAAAGAGTCAACCCTTAAGGTAGCTAGAAATATAAAGCCAACTTCTGTGTGCATTTCCCACTCTCCTTCAGCCCTTGCAGTTTCTCTTCCTCCCCGCCCCCAACTCATTTTTTTTATCCTGTTGGGTGCAATTGGGAATCTCCATACTTCACCATACACTATGCCAAAAATCTTTAAAGACCAAGTGTGATGGTGACCTTCTTTTATGATTCCTCTTATATAGTTATTTTTTTGTATTAAATGACACTGGGTCAATGTGGAACACAAGTTTTTACCACCAAGTGGATCAAAAGTAAAGGCTCCACTTCTGATGCCAGCCACAGATTATAATTTGCAAAGAAACATTTTTGAGAGTTCATAATGAAAACAAGAAATAGTTAAATCCTAAAGGAGGACACACCACTAGTGGGATTTCATTCTGTCTTTATACTTCTGAAACTTAATTAAAGCACATTTTAATTTTAGCATATATAAATTGCACCTGCTGACTTTAACAAAAATCATGCCAAAGTTGTCTTAATTGTTTGTTTGTTTACATTGTAAAAAATGACACATGCATCATGCTTTAATAGTTATTGAACTACAGGCAACCCCCACTTAGTGCTCTTAATTGGTTCCAGAAAAACTGAGCCTTAAGCAGAACTGCGCTAAGCGAAACCCATTTCCCCATAGAAATTAATGTAAATAGAGATTAATTAGTTGCTGCCCACTCTGCCACTGCTGCCTCTCCCCACTCCCCTGCCCACCTAACAGCACTCCAGCCACACAGGCCAACCTGGGCCTGTACCCCTGCTGGTCCTGGTGTGGCCCTGGGCACTGGTCCAACACTCATGCCTGCCCCCACACTCGCCACTTCTCACTGCTGCCACCTCTCCCCACCCCTCTTGCCTGCCCACCGGCCTCTTTGACCCCACTTGCCAGCCTGGGCACTGGAGCTCCTGCCACCAAGCTCTGGGCATGGGCCCCAGGTTCTGATGCAGGCCCTGCACTCTTGCCACCCCCCTCTGGGCACAGGCCCCCACTGGCCCTGGCCCTGGCTCTGGCCCAGGCACCAGCGTAGGCCCAGCGCTCCTCGCCTCTGTCGCTGCCGCCTCTCCCCACCCCCTGCCCGCTCCGGCACCATGTGCCAGCCTGGGCAGTGGTGCTCCTGCTGCCAGCCCTGGCCCTGGGCACTGGCTGGGGCCTCACACTCGTCCCCTCTGCTGCTGCTGCTTCTCCCCACCCCCTTCCCTGCTCCAGCACCCTGTGCCAGCCTGGGCCCAGGCTCCTGCCCCATCCTGGGCCCTCATGCCTGCCCCACCACTCACTGCCACTCACTCACCCCACTCACTGCTGTTGCCACCGCCACCATTGCTTCTTCCCACCCACTCACTGAAACTCCCTGATTCCACTGAGCACTATAGCGAAACTGGCTGAGCACTCAGTGGAATCCGGTATCAATCTTAAATGAGCGCTATAGCAAAACAGCACTAACTGAAACCGCACTAAGCAGGGGTTGCCAGTAATACTAGGGCAAGTTGGGCCCAATCTCTTTAACCTATAGAAAACAGCTGGAAGTTAAAACTTGTTTAAAATCTCTATGCTGTTCATTGTTACAGTCTCTTATATGTTTGTAAGTTAACGGTGGTGCGTTGTTTCTGTTTTGTCCCTGCCATCTGATTTATAGGGAGCAATGGCAGCCACGTATTCTGCTTTGAACCGTAATCAGTCACCAGTTTTGGAGCCAGTAGGCCGTTCTACTCTTGCTCAGCGAAGAGGTATAAAAAAAATTACCTCAACAGCCCTGTGAAATGACCTCAACCAGATACTTGGTACCATGGTATAAGATGATAGCACAAATCATGGAGACAGGTAGCACATATCTGACAGATACCTGCAAGCACACTGTCCCAGCTGGTACCTATAATGCTGCTGCTACTGCTTTCATCTATTCTCGCTTTAAACTTTTGATGGCAAGTTACTGACCTTAGTGGAGCTTTGGATGGAGTGAAAAGTGGAAACATGATGAAAATGGGACTTGTTCGCTGATTGAATAAACAAGAATTATGAATGCCACCTCTGTCATAAAAATACACTGAATAAAGCACTCTGCACCATATAGCATTATTTTTATAAGAAATATTTCTTGTTCCCTAAAATATTCTTTGTTACACATAGAGATGGACAGTTTATGTTAAGCACTTAGCTTAAACAATCTGTTTATATAGCACTGTATACTTTGTGCCATCCAACATTTTGTATGTTTTTTGTAAACAATTCATGAGCAGTACATTTCTGTGCTGTTTTCTTTAATGTATACATGCCTTGTTTTACTTAGATTTTATTATTCATTTTGACAATTAAATCTGGTTAAACCATTCACCTGGATTAATCAGTATTGTTGGACAGCTCTAAAAGAAGCCTGACTGTTAAAACAGCTATTGAATGTAATACTACAAATACGTATTTTTTCCTTGCCTATATGTTTTTTTCTACGTGTCCATGTTTCTGAAGCCGCATTATGAGAAACAAAGCTATTGTTAAACTTAACTATCACATGTATGTGATGGGCAATGCACCATGGAAAAAAAGTAACTTGCTGCACACCCCTTTGCCTTTTGTGTCCCTGTTTTTTCCCACCTGTTGACTGGACTCACTCAGGAATCATCATTAAATACTTTTCCATGCAAAATAGTTGTAGTTAGGGGCGCACAAGGCAGCATTCCATTCTCATAACTGGCTGGTAATGTCTAATGCTGAATTTTTTGGGTCTGGTTAAGTTGCCAATGACTGAACCGTATCTAGGGCATCAGAGACGAAAGGTAATAATGAAGCTTAAAGCAAAGCACAGCAGCTTCCAAAAATCAAGTTTAAATTCCATCTGTTCATTGATAAGTCCTAGTTCAGCTTGAAGCAGAATTGGCGAGAATCCTTCAAATCATCTAGTGGGATTTTTTTGGACCTTTCACTGGCAGTCCAGGCACCCTTAAAGTAGTATTGCTCAATTCTGGTAGAATGAAACTAGCCTGACTGAGAAGCCAGGACAGAATCCCTGCTGTTCCCCAGAGGGAGCCAGACTCTTAGCTTGATGTTGGGAGACACAAATTATTGGCCTTTTGAGCATAGCTTCTATGATTCAAGGTACATAGCTAAGCTGCAAGCAGCACTTGTCCCAAAAGAACGATAATTTGACTCAGGCTAGAATTTGCTGGTATCCCATTCCCTCTCCTGCTCCTCCCTGGAGGGAATAACTGACTTCCCTGTGTGAGATGCCCATTATGACAAAGTTACTAAATGTGGATCTTGGTTCACACTTTCTCTGAAAATTACAGTTCAGAAAGCAAGAAACAAGCAAGTGCATAGTTCCAGGTTAATTAACCTGTGTTAGCTGTTAACATGCTAGTTTATCTAAAGTTACAATTTTTTCAGTGAGACTTGTTAAGAGGATGAAGCTGACCTTATTTTATGACACGTGGATTCCTTTGAAGGATTTTTGTTAGAAAAGTGAGGCTGTGAAATAGACTGCCTAGGAAAGTTGAGAAATCTTCATCGCTGGAGGCAGTGGTGCTAGGCTTTTTGGTCCTGTAGGTCAGATAAGAGGCATGGGCAAGATTGGGTCTGTGTTATCTCTGCCCAGTCTAACATGCCTGTATTAGGACCCCACAACCTCAGCTGACCCTTTTATGCCTAGATTGGGCCCCACACAAGCCCTGACTTGACCTGTATTCCAGGATCAGGCCCTGTGGCACCTTGTGCATTTGATCTAGCATGCAGGGCCATGCTATCTGGCCTGTGGAGCTCCCCATTTGTTGGGAAATTAGGAGAACAGCAATTAACAATTCAATTAACAGGAGAACAGCAATTAACAATCCCCTATCACTGATTTTTTGGACCCATGGGGAGCTCTACAAGCCAGATGTGGGCTGGATCTTGCCTGTGGGTCAGAATTGAGCACCCCTAATTGGAGGTTCATAGATTGGAAGGGACCTAGGAAAATCATAGGGTTCAGTCCCCTGCACCAATCAGGAAAGATAATGGGGGGTTGGATGACCCCAGCAAAGGTGACTGTCTAGTCTCCTCTTTATAATTTCCAGGGTAGGTGATTGCACCACCTCTGGGAGGACCTTATTCCATAGTCTGGACACCCTGACTGTGAAGAAGGTTTTCCTAAGGTTGAGCCTGAATTGGTCTTCCAGGAGTTTGTGGCCATTACTCCTAGTTTTCCTGTCAGGTGCCCTGGTGAGCAGTTGCTCACTGAGCCCTTGATGTACTCCCCTAGTGTAATGGTAAGCTGCTACCAGATCCCCTCAGCCTTCTTTTCTTCAGGCTGAAGAGCCCTAGATCCCTCAGCCTTTCCTCATGTGGCTTGCCATATAAGACTCTGATCATACCAGTGCCTCTTCTTTGGACTCTCTCAAGCTTGTCCATGTCTTTGTTAAAGTGTGGTGTCCAGAACTGAATGCAGTACTCCAGCTGTGGTCTCACCAGTGCTGAGTAGAGCAGAAGAATCACCTCCTTGGCTTTGCTGGAGATGCATCGATTGATGCATGCCAAAGTATTATTTGCCCTACTGGCTATAGGAGAAAGGTGTTCAAGAAGATGATAGCTAAACATTGGTCAAGGATGATCTAGGAGTAGCTATGCCAATGCTATGGTTATGGGTATTTCCGCATGCTTCTGGGCTTTGCTGGTTGCCACATGGAGTGGGGAAGAAATGTTTTTCCTTTCCCTTTGCTACATGTTTGGGAGGGGGGGTGGGGGTCACCTTTCTCAGACATATTGGGTGCTTGCAGCTGAAGCTTGAGATTGGGGTGTGCTGGTGCTAATGCTGGGACTAAAATCCTGGTTAGAGGGTCTTGTCCCTGTCTCGGGATCAGACTGGTCACATCTGGGGTCAGGAAGGAATCTTATGCTATCGTCAGATTGATAAAGACTTTGGGGGGTGGGTTGTCTTCCTCTGAAGGAAGTGGTGTAGCCCTCTTCCTTGGGTCTTGAGTGTATTTTCACAACCCATACAGTAGCAGGATGTTGGCCTCTACGGTCCCCCTGTTTTATCTGTGTCAGGCTAGGGCACTATTCTTCATGGACTGAGAGGCAGGGCTGCCTGCCTGTGCAGTATTAGACGAGGATTTGGCTGGGACGGTTGGATAAGGATGTTCTTGCCTCAGGCAGGAGGTTGGACAAGATGACCTCTAGAGAAGTCTCTTCCAGCCCTATTTTTCTATGATTCTGTTACTGTTCCCTTTGAACATAGAACCTTCATTTGGCATGAAGTTTTCATCTATTTCTTGGCAAACAAAAAACAGGTTTTTGCAAGCTGCTTAGAATATTAGTTAAATGATTCGCCACTTAGGCAACTGTGTGGCGGCGTTAGAAATAATAGCTCGTCTGCTACAGTGCAGCAGACTGAAAGAGGAAAGAACAGCCTACCTGGTTCCGGTACAATTTTGGGAGACAAAAAAAAAGGGAACAGAAATAAAGGATTTCAGAAGGGAAAGAACTTTAGTTAGTTAGTTCTGGAAGTTAACAGTAATGCTAATCGCAAAATGTAAGTGACCAAGTCGGTAATTAAGCCATCAAATAATCTTCTAATCAGAAAATAGGGGCAAGGAAATAATGGTGACAGCACTCCTTTGGGGGGAAAAAAATCTTTACTTAGCTGCTGTTTGAGAGAATGGCAATTTGTTACCTGACCTTAATAGTCAAAGTTCAAATAGGATGCTTGTGTAACTTCAAAATCAGTCTATCTTCTGTTACTTTCTTTGAAATCTGAGCTGTCCTAATCCTTAATAAATTACCATAGTGCTGAGCTTTTACAGGTGGGAAGGATACTAAAGAATTAAGATCTCAAACTTTTATCCTGGCTATGGTGAAAAGGTACTTCTCTATAAAAGGAGTTACATATTTTTTATTTGTAGGAAATAATTCTCAAGGGGTTCATATTGCAGATTTCAAAAAGCTAAACAGGTTTCTTGGATGTTTTACTACTTATCTTAAAAGGAACTAGGATTTTTTAATTACTTATTTTAAGAGGGTTTTTTGTTTGTTTGTTTTTTACTTCCAGTGCCCTAATAATGAGTACTGTCTCTTACTGTAGTGATAGCCATCTATGAACATCATTAATACGAGGTGAAAAAAATCCATTCTCTTTTTGATGCTGACTGGTACCAGTGGGGCTTACTTGGATACTTGCTAGTCCAGTTTCTTATCTTCCAGGTCTATCATTAAATACAAATGTATCTCGAAAATTGATATAACGCTTGCCTTTTAGTACCTGCGTTTAATTTTGTAGGTTAAGGTCAGTCTTTCATTATATTACGCCTTGTGGTAAATAAGATTTTTAGAACAGTATTTCTAGAATTATTTTTTAAAAATGGCCAGGGCTTCAGGTCCTAAGATTTTCAGCAGCTGAGATCAGAAAGAAATTCCCTTTATATGGGTGGTCAGCAGGTGTAAATTGCAGTTGCATATCATCCTCTGCAACATACATGGGATAAAATATTAGACTAGACTAATAAGCGCCTTAAGTCATTCATAAATGTTAATTTTTTTTGTCTTTCTTAAGGCATGCCTCTATTCCTTCATATCTTCACCTGTAAACCAGAGGAATATACAGCTGCAAAGTACCACTTAAGTCATAGATTCTAGTATGCTGCAATCATAGGCAGCCATAGAATAGATATTAATTCTGGGGGCTACAGCAAACATTCTTGTACATGTATGTGCTCTCTCTCTTACCGTTAAACAAAAATTTCCTCAGTTAAACAAACAACTCAGAAGCCTCACTTATTTGCCACAGGAAGAGCTTAAGAACTCAGGTCAGACCAATGGTCCATCCGGCCCAGAGTCCTGTCCTGGACAGTGGTAGAAGTGGATGACAGAGGGAGAGCATTGAACTGGATTGATCAAGGGTAATTACCTATCCTGTCATCCATCATTATTAGTGCAGAGATGCCATAAGAAAGACATCCTCCCATTCTATTCAACAGCTATTAATAGATTTATCAAAACTGGTTCCAAACATACTGGTACCTGCCTTTCCTTTGGATTAAACCAGCAAGGCCAAGAGGGGGACACTAGTATGGGGGCAGCTGAGTGTTTCTATATATACTGCTCAGGCTTTTACACTCTGGAGAGGTCACTCCAGCTTCACTTTATTGTAAAGTGAGGATTATGTTCAGTGAGCTGCTCTCACTGCATAATTCTATTGTCTTGTGAGACAGACAGATGCCTACTACTACTTCATCCATGAGTTTATCCAATCCTTTTTTGAACCAGGCTGTACTATCTGCCTCTGCCACCTCCTATGGAAAGTAATTCCACAAGATTTACCTAGCCATGGCATAGAAGGAAATTAAAAAGGTAAGGAAGAGGTTTGCCCATACTCTGGTACTCCACCAGTAGCAGCAAAATTGTTTTTAAAAAAAAACAACCCACCACATGTCTTGAATAGTGATACAAGGAACAAACATTTTCTTCCTCATCACTGTGAACTGTCAGAAATTTTTCTGGTCCATCAATTTCATTGGGTTTGCCTTTCTTATAAGGGGATTTTCTTCTTTCTCCCTCATCAGTGTCTCTGAGCTGAGGGTATTGGGAATGAATGAGATCAGAATGTTTTGTATATACCAGTGCAGTTCCTGCAATCTGCTGTGTTTACACAACCAGGTACACATGTAAGGGGTCTGTCACTTAGGCCAGTGGGAACCAACCTTATTGGCAGGTATGTCACAAACTAGCCCATTATCCCAAGTCCCACTTGAATCCCCTGGTCAGTCTACTCTGCTTTCTGCCCTGCCTGTCCCCTCCCCCATTTGCTATGTGTCACATACAAAGGATGCCTGTGGTGCACATGCCAAAAGTTATCTACCCCTAATTTAGGTTTGAGATTTTTACAGATGTGCTGTTAATTAAGTTGTATAATTCTATCCAAATAACATGAACTTTAGGAGAAAGCAATTTTAATTTAACATATACTCAAGCGTGCTGAATTTTTGGTCAAATGTGCTAGTCTCATTCACAGATCCACATCTAGTGCTTCCCATAATTTTGGTACTAATTTCTTAAGTGCAGTCATTGGGAACTAAGTTTTAAAAAAAACAATACACTGCTGCTTTGAAGCTCAGCTCTTTTAAATAGAAAATATGCACCACAGAGTAAATTTTCACTACTCTGCTGCTTCTTGGTCAGTCAAGCACAGCAAGCAACTGGAATAGAGGCTTATAGAAAAGGGAACAAATGCACAACTGCAAATAAAAGTGAATAGGTTGTTTTTCAAAGTATAGTTTATAAGTTACTGTGTGCTGAAAACACAAACACGAAGGCCGATTAGCTGCAATACTCCCTGTTAATTTGGACTGTAGTAAGGATGAAGATCTCAATTCATAATCACTATCGTACTGAACAAAACTTACTCTGAATTTTTCACCTGAAGTATTTTAAAAACATTTTCTTTGAAATATGAGGCAAAGGCATAAAGATAGAAAAAAAAAAGGCTTTGTGTTTTGTTTTT